GTGAGCAAGAATTTGTTTTCAGATTTTACAACCTAACTAGAGTGAAGGTGTGACTTGCCCGCCAAGTTTGAACCAAACGGCCCAGCCAAAAAAAATCACAGAAGAGTCAAATTTTTTGTAATGAAAACATATCAAAAATTCAAATAGTAACTTAGTGCCCACACTCAAGCTGAGTAGAATGAGCTATGTCTGAAGAGTTTTATCTAAATTTGTAGGAGGAGATTCATTTAGCACGAAACTATCCAGTTTTTTGGCTGTTACTATGGCAACGATAGGCCAATTTTTTTCTTCAGATTTTACCTAATAACTAGGGTGGTGGTGTGACCTGCCTGTCAAGTTTGAGGGAAATGGGCCAAGCCAAAACAGCACAGAAGCATTAATACGTGAAAACACCGAAAACCACACACAAAATTGATTTTAAGGGCAATCCTAGCAGAACGGATCGCCAATAGTGAACAAAAATGTTCGTAAATATTACTGACCGCAAAAGACACTCTTCGCGAAGTGTCTTGTTATATATAGAAGATAATATTTGGTAATCGTAGTCCTAAATAACTATTAAAAATAGCTAGACGTTTCGAGCATTGGCTCTTTATCGATAGCATAGAAGAAAATGTTAAAACGTACAGGTAGAACATAGGTACGTAAGAACGCACATGAACTATAATTAGAAGCACAAAAAATTCCACAATAGAACAAATAACGCGCCTTAGGTAGTGAGCTCAACAAATGAGTTGAACTGTTTGTTAATTCCATGGGGTTCTTTAGTTCCAAGGCGGGATATAGTTTCCTCCTCGACACGCCCGAGCAGTATAGTGGTCTAATATGTGCCCGACACCCACTGTGGTAATGGTATACATGTAGTACATTATGATCTAGGAATTGCCGAATAATAGACATCAAGGCAGGTTTTTCTGCTACCATGGTAGCCAACTCTAGAAGGGTCACCTTCTCTGTTACTTTAGTACTAAGGATTAGATTCTTTTTAAACTTGGTATAATAAAATTTAGTGTCTCTAATATCATTTCACTATACTAAAGGCCAGCTTTATGAGGTCTGTCAGTTCATATACATTTGACCACAATGGTCAAAGCTAGCATTACTTACGTTGCTATAGTACTCCAATCTTTCCACACTGGTAAATCTGGCTTCACATTCAGCAGCTGTATTGACTGTTAATTGAAGTATACCAGAAATCTGCAATCAAATACACATTTACCCTGTCATATTAATTGGACTGATATGAAACTATTAAGTGCTTTATGAAATGTAAACTGGTAGCTATCGTTAAATTCTAAAGGAGTTCTTTGGATAGATGGCCATCTTTTGACTGTTTTTTTTTTTTTTAAATTTAGAATGTGTTAGCCAAACTGGTAGCCATTTTTAAATGTTGACTGGTTGCTATCTTTAAATTTTGAATGTGTCGCCCAAACTCGTGGCCATCATTAAATTTTGACTGGTGGCCATCTTTAAATTTGGAATGTTATCCAAACTGGCCACCATCTTTAAAGTCGAAATGGGTTATTTATTAATTATAATGCCAAACACAAATCTCTGCTATGGTGATTACCTGCATTGTATATGACAGTGCTAATCCAGCAACAGCTGCAGAAATTTCACCATGACCAATAACAGCTAGTAGAGCAGTAATTACAGTAACAAACAATGTAATAAAATCCATGCGTGATTGAACCCATCTACTACACATTAGAGACAGTAATAATGGTACGGAGTTGGTGTCCACTCTGTCACTGAAACTGAAAGAAATAATACAAAGTTTGTATTTTTACAATGTTTTTAGAAATTATTTTGTTTTAACCTGTTAAACTTTCTCTTGCAATTATTGTGAAGATTTTTATATATTTTTTAACCAAATGAACAATATTTCCCAAAAATGTTTGACAAAAGTTGACCTTGATTGAAAGAAAATTTGCATTCAATAGTCCTACCTTTTGATGAAATTCTGTGATCTTCGATAGGCATTAATTGTGGGCAGTCCTTGAGCAGTGGACGTCAACATTGATACCCACAGTGAGCGGCTAATGTTGTCAAATCTCTTGCATTCTCGAATACCAGCACGAAACATTACCAAACACAAGAGAAAGATGATGAAGAGTGGTAATAAGGCGATCATAAACCATGGAAAGACAATACAGATCATTGTCAAGGCAGCTAGTAACATAAAACAATACTGCACACTGATATCCAACAATAGTGGTAGCCAGACATCAACTGAAACAACGATACAACAAATATTTAGCTATGACCATTCAATGCCAAGTTTTATAAATATGGTGATATTTTAGCGATTTGCCATGGTTATTGTTACCACAATGTTCTAATTCACACATAGTTTATATGGTTGTTGCTATGGCAATGGTTATGTTACAAACTGTACCAAGTATCAAAATAGTTTTGAAGAAGAGGAAAAAACTTTTTTTACATAAAGAACAAAAAAGCACAAATCTGCCAGAGGTGCACCTAAGTACCCAATCTGATTAAAATCTGTTGTAGTGTACGGGCTTTAATTATTTTGGCTATAAATTATTTTAATTGCCCTGGAGACGGGTGATGTTTTGTTGATGACCGGGCCAAAATCGTCTACGGTATTGAAGCCATAGCTGTAAATATCCTTAAAAGTGTATCAACATTTTGTACATTATACAATAACTCTTTATTAAAGTAATTGAACTGATCTGGACTGGAATAAAACATTTTTTATTTGGAACACATCTCGGGCCGGTGACCGTTATACAATTTAAAATCAGTTTGCATTGTTTACTATAGCTGTTTACGATTTACTTATTTTTTTGCTTCCATTCTAAGTAATTATGCTCAGTCTTTGATGTAAAATTGAAGCGATAACTGAATAAACGAACCTTGGCTGGCGAAGATGTATCAGGAAGTGTACGCATTTGTTGAAAGTGAAAAAAATATTCAATGTAATGACAAAACTTGTAAAATGCTGTGGAATTTCTTTTGTAAATAAAACATATACTAGCAATTTTCTATTAACGGTTTATTCAAGTGGGCAAAATATAATGTACAGAAAGATTGCCCGTAGAGTGTTGCTACACTGAAAAGTAAGCAACCGACAGCCTGTATAAAAGGGGAGCTGTGATTGGCTGTTACTTACGCAAGATTTGAACGGGACTTACATAGGCGTCAGATCAGATGTATGTAGGGTGGAATTAAAAAAAATCACAAAATCAAAGTAAAATAAAAAGGCATTAATAACAAAATTAATAAAAAATAAAATTAAAATATGTTTATAGCCAAAATAATTAAAGCCCGTACACTACATCAGATTTTAATCAGATTGCTAAGTACCTACATAACAAGTATGAGAACAGTTGAGCTGGTAGTTTTCTTGAAAATAACATTTTAACCGAAAATGCAAAAAATTGAAGATACCATCACAAATGTGACAGGATCAATGTAGAAATCATTTTGCATGATTTTTGACAGATGGACATTTCACGAACAAATTTCCATCAACACTTGCTAAGGCAGCTACATGCAAAAAACCAACAGTTTAGTGGCTTTTGAGAAGAAGGCGCCCACATCAAGACAGACTTTGGATACAGCATCACCCCTATAGCTCCGTTGACCTATTGTCCTTTGAGCTAAAATTGATGTCACTATAGTGATGTGTTACAATATGCTGATCAGCTAAAGACTTACTTTCATCCATGTCTTTTGAAAACCTATTCATTATCCTTCCTAATGGCGTAGTATCAAAAAAACTCATTGGACTTCGGATGATTTTGCTGAAAACTTTGTCATGAATCTTTGAAGAAGAGCGAAGACACACCTAGCAACACAACAATCAATAAAACTAATATTTAAATATATATTTAGTTTTTGCAGCAATTGGCTGGAACTAATGACACAAGTGTTAAACTTTCACTATATTTGAGTTTGTATGGTCACTCTAGTTAGTCCCTGTTCAGGCGCAGGTTTTATCCATTTTCCGTCCCATTGTTTTCTCAGAAATTCTGCAGCAGATATCAGTGAAACTTGGCAGATTGATTAACAATAATATGTTTAGTAGTCACACAATTTTTTTTCCAGATTTGAAAATCCCAAGTGGGTCTTTTTCATGATTTTCATTAAAAATTACCTCTTCCGGCAACATTGACAGAACGACTGTGCATGCTCAGAATAAATTAATTACTGTAAAATACTTTATTTCGCTTGCAACTTTTTTTCGCTATTGTCGCTGAAGGAATGTTTCAGTTAAAATAAAATCCAGCGAATATACCCGTTTTCCTATATTTTACATTCAACTTGTCAAAAATCAATGAAAATAAATTCAATACAAAACACCCAGAAAAAGTCTTTTCAGCGATGATAATTCCAGCTGAAATAAAATATTTTACATTAGATTAGATCTGTGAGTAACGCTACTATTATTACTGCATGTGATTTCTCCATTGCGTGCAGTACTGTTTATTACATGTATTTTGTTCGGCTCAGTGGTCTCATTCACTAGTTACTAGAAGAACTAGTAACCTTATTTGATTTCAAGAACTTCAAGAAGGCGGCATAAGAGACATGTTTGCAAAGGTAAGTTTTCCAGTTTCAGTAACATTGAATGTATTGGGGTAGGATTGATGTACATTCCATGACGTACGGACGTGAATATTATGATTGCCAGCTTTATATTCTTGTGAAAAGCCAAAAAAGCAAACAATTGTCTCCAATCTATGAAACTAGTTTGTAAATTGTATACCCTGTCAAATTATTGTACACGAACGATTAATTCATGGGGACATAGTTTTCAATTAAATCGTTTTCCAGTCTTTTGCTTGTGTCGCGATTTGCGAAATATCCACAACTCGGGGGGAAAGAATGTCCCTGTGTCCATCAATTTATTCATTATATCATAGCAGGTTGCCTATGATTATATTCGTATTTGTTATGTTGTGAGCATTAAACTGTTAGTTGTAATCACAGTCTACAATGACTGTGTTGTAATGAAGATTTTGCCGATCTCGTGCGATTCAACATGGCGGATGTACAGTGACAACACATGTGTGGACGATCGGTCAAGTACAGTCTGCAATGAACCATGAAATTGCCCAGTGTTTTTTCGGCAATTTTTTTTTTTTATATTTTGGATATTTCATTCACTCTGGATGCTTAAAATAGTCTAATTTATATTTTAGCGTAGTCATTGACACCTGTTCAAGATTATGATGTGACTAGCGTGAATGGGTAAGCTTTGTTTCGACAATGAGCTGTTATTTCTGTTAACAGTGTTAAATTATTCTTCAAATGCTCAGCTTATTTTTTGAAAACAACTAATTTTTTTATTTAAAAAAATCATGCCGTTTTCCTCGTCAAAATCAAAGCATAAAGATCTTGCTACAACATCGGTGAATTTCTACCGTGTTACAAGGTCACTAAACTGTCATTAACATGTTTAAATGAGCCACGTGTAATGAAAACATGGCGGATATCGTATCGCATTGAGCATTTACATTCGACCGAAATCATTTGTTTACGTTGAAACTAAGTTGAATTTTACTCCCAATTCATAACAAGCAGCCTCTCGGCTGAGATAGCTCCGCTGTTAGCAAGGCATATTTCAATTAAAGAACTGAAGATATTATTAGAAAATGAACAATATGTATAGTATGTATAGCAAAAATATCACTTTTTACCAAAAATGACAAAAATATTCACCAAAATTAAAGAATTGAGGATATCATCACAAAATGACCAAATCTGAGAAAGGTCCACATGTAGCATCCATATATGCAATATCAAAGCAACTGGACTTGCGGTTTTTAACAAGCAGTCAAAAAATATCACTTTTTACCAAAAATTACAAAAATATTCACCAAAATTAGAGAATTGAAGATATCATCACGAAATGAATAAATCTGAGAAAGGTCCACATATAGCATCTATATATGCAATATCAAAGCAATTGGACTTGCGGTTTTTAACAAGAAGTCAAAAATATCACTTTTTACCAAAAATTACAAAAATATTCACCAAAATTAGAAAATTGAAGATATCATCATGAAATAAACAAATCTAAGAGAGGTCTACCCCAGGTACATGCACACCAAGTATCAAAGCATTCAGGCTTGTAGTTTTCAAGAAGAAGTGGAAAAAGTAAAACATTGACACTGGTGATTACGGACAATCACTCATATAATAAGTTCCGCTCGACAAAGTCGACAGCGGAGCTAAAAATTCAACAAATTTATTTTTTGTACGTTATTATAATCATTACTGAATAATAATTAACAATTACAATACTTAGAAAACAAGTAAGTTATTCACTTAAGGTAGAGATGCAGTTTACCTGACAGGTATTTTAATTAGTTAATTAGGAAACCAAGATGACCTCCCTTGTCCACAAAACTATATATTTTCGGAAAGCTTATTGTATGAATTTTAAAATTGTGTTAGTATTTTTTTGTTATGGATACTCCAACTAGAGTAACCGAATCAACATCTACAACAATAGATCACTGTCTTATGAATTTTTTTGATTATTTTATTGAAGCCGGTACCCTAGAGGCGGATCTTAGTGATCATTTTCCAATTTTTGCTGTTTTAAACATTTACGTCATATATTTAACACAAATCCAACAAATAGTTACAAACATGACTTTT